CATCGAAGGAAAGGCGTACAGCGAACGCTGCGCGAGCGAACACTTACACCGGGTGTATATACGCCAGTCGACACCGTCGTATCGAAAGACATGCCCTCGTTTTCCTCGCACACACGTGGGTATGTGTTCGACCGGTACACGTACACCGCCAGCCACGAGACACGATCTAACGACGAACGGGTCAGGCGTCGCCGTAAAAGGCCATTAATGTCCATCGCTCCTGAATCGCCTGAGTCGTGTATCAGTCCTGACGAGAAAAGCGAGATCGCGATTTTTCTTAGATGATTTTTCGAGCCCGCCCAAGGTCGGAAGGTGTGCGCGCGACCACTCAACTTCCGGCTTTCCCGGAATAACACGCGGCGGCCAGCTACCGCGTGAAATTTAATATCCATCGTTCCTGGCGAGAAAAGCGAGATCGCGATTTTTAAGATGATTTTTCGAACCCACCCAAGGTCGGTGAGCGCGCGCGCGCGTAACTTCCGGCTTTTCCCGGAATAATACGCGGCCAGCTACCGCGTGAAATTAAATCTATCGTCAGCTGACCGTCGATCTCCCCCCTCCCCTCCTGCGTCGTTTCGACCACGAGTCTCATCGTTCAGTGGGATCTTTATTTACTATACGTACGTCTGCTTATTCTCGTATATCCTTTCTCCGATAACAAGAAGCGGGAGTTCGCGGAATGAACGTAGTCACCTATCGACATTTCTTTGTTTGGGAGTCCGAGAAGCAATTTAGCACACACACACACATATATACACACATATATACACACATATATACACTGGCGATCTATTCGCTACTCGGCGATTCACAGAAATACGGAAGGTATGAACATATTCAAGATATTTATTCAACCTGAAGAAACAAATTCCCTGAGAATTCCCTGATTTTCAAGATATTTTTTTTTAATTCCAAGTAAAATGTAAATATTTTTAAATATATTTTAGAAATAGATATTTATTGTGCAAAGTCCTTATTTATATTTTCCATTTATAAAGATTTATAGATTAAAGGTTTATAGATTTAAAAAATTAAATTAAATTATTAAAAATTATTTGAGTTTTAACAAAAATTTGAAAAATGTTGAAATAAACTGTAATAAATCCAAGAAATAAATATTTTATATTTCATAAAATTTTCAAACTTTACTTTTAGAAAATACAAATAAAAAATTACAATGCACATAACCAGTGTAAAATTTGATTTTTATAAAGTATTAAAATAAATATCCGTCTTCTTTAAATAAAACTGCACTCAACACGAAATCGTTATCAATATTGAATATTGGATTTAGTGAATAGTCATAAAATCAGTGTGTTCTGATCTTTAGAGTAGATGGGTCTACTGTTATCGTTTAAAATTCAACCAATAAACTGACTTACAATAAAGACAATAGAAAAAGCAACTTAAAAAAAATTTCCCAAAATTTTCAAATTCTGAGAATTTCCTTATTTTTCAAGATACAAATAAATTCTCCGGAGAATTTCAGGTTTTCCAAGCAGTAGGCATTCTGATACTTCGGTGTTCGATCTATTAGCGTGTAAGAGCACAATTTCACGTTAGAATAATTACATTGAAAATTACATAGAAAAATTTCGCGAGGCGTAACAACGGAGTCTCGGTTTTCGAACAGCTAGCAAGCGCGCGATCGAAGGCATATCGATAACGAGCCCTGCGTTGTTAAGAAACGACTCTCTCTCGACCGAAGACCCGTGGCGGAGGCAGCGGCAGCGGCGATGGCGATACGAGAGAATATTTATAAGCTCCTCTTTACGGTTAAGCGGCGTGGCGGCGAGGCGACCCGCGGCACCGAGGTATGCATTTTCCGCGCGAAGACAGCGAGATTATTACCGACGATATTTCATCGGCCGCTAAAACCAGCCGGCCTTTCGGGATGCGGTCCTTCTCTCCTCTTTTTCTCCTCCTCCTCCTCCTCCTCCTCCTCCTCCACCTCCTCTTCTTCCGCCGCTTGCATTAAAAGGTCCTCGCGGCAATTGTAAAATGTAACTACGTTACGCGCAAGCTACGGTGCACCGGATTTATGCTCGACGGGAAAAAGAGAAAGAAAATGAGAGAATGCCGAAATGTATACGCACCGAATTCCACACGTCGAGAGATAATACTTTTGTCGTTGTCGAAGAGGCGAAAAAAGAATCCTTTTCAGAGAAAGTCGCGAAGTCATAATTCGAAAAATGAGAATTTTTCGAGTCGTTTTGGTCATTTGACAACCGACAAAAATGCATTCACAAAGGAAATATAATTGTTCTGGCAGTTATAATGTCGCAAAATATAAAATTTGAGTATTCGCAACTAGTTTTATAAAGAGTTCTGAGAACACACAGATAATAGCAAAAGTTATAAAAATTTGGTCACATAACAAATATAATGTTGACATTGTTTTTCGAATTGTGTCATATTTTAACAGTGGAATTAAATAGCGAAATAACTACAATGTATAATTTCACACAATAGGTTATAACAATTACATTTTTTTTCAGTTTAAACATTTTTCATCATAATGTTTCACATTATTAAAATATTGACAAATCTATATTTTTATTATATTTTATTTCACCATATTTATTACAAATAACAAAATAATATTTTTAGTTTACACACATTTTCCTTATTGCAACTTTATAATATTTCATGGAAAAAATAATATTGCTGAAATGACTAAAATTTTGGTCAAATTTGAAAAAAAATAATTTTCTGGGGTCATTACAATAATTATATAATTCAAATTGGTTATTAAAATATCAAAAATTTTTATATTATTATCATATTTGAACATTCTACGTAATTAGAATGTTGATGATTAGTAATTATTTTCTGATTTATATCTGATTTTTAAAATATTTCAACAAAACTCATTCTTTCAGTATCGAGAAGTCACTTCCTTAATTTTCTAATTGCCGATACTACTTTGCGTACAAATTCTAAATATCCTTCGAATATCGCGAATCATTCGAATCCGAACCGGAATCGGATATCATTGCACGAATCTCATTTCGTGCCACGAAATTTAGCGATGCACGCTACGCCCTTGCGCTCTCAACCCCTCGCGGTCACCCCAAGGCTGTTTTTCGGTTGGTAGCGATGCGTTTCAGGATCGACTTCTCTTTCTCTCTCGTTCCTTCACAGACGATCGAATCTAACGCGCTCCGGTTTCACTTAAATTTCTTTCCTTCTCTCTCGACGCTCGAAATTTCTTTCGCAAGCATGGTAAACGTAACAATGAAACCGAATATCCTCAATCAATACCGCGTGCATCTTGATCGCAAGCAAGGAAATTATTATCCATCGACCAATACGTTGTAAAAAAGAAAACTTCTCCGGCATTGCGGAGGGTTGCAAATATTTTGCACGCGTGTTTGCCCGTCGTCGATTTACGCCACGATCAATGTTAGAACGGCCGTTATTCCGCGTAACGGAAAAAGCATATGCGGTGGGAGTTTCACAATATAGAATTCTCGGGTCGCTAATTAACGAAGGGCCGCGGGGATTTTAGCGATAAAAACATAAACAAACGACAGGCGGTACTGCGGTACTTGGCATCTGTCGCGGCTCGTTCACTCGAAGTCCGCCGCGCTCATTTCGATGCTCGTTTCAAAATCCACTCCTTCTCATTAGCGAATTACGAAGATTGCGTGCACTCGCGCCAAACTTGTCTCCGATTCTTTTCCAAGTTTCTATTAACAAAGCTAACAACGCGGGAGCCCTCATT